GGCGCAATTTGTTCTAAAAATAGAAAAATTGTCCCATATCATAGGTGCGCGCGAATCCCGAGACTTACGGTCTCCGTCCCCGATTATGGCTCCTGGCCAATCTCAGCATTGAAAAGCTTTTACTTTATTAGTAAAACTTTTCCATTGTTCACTTTACAGACAGTTTCCGTTTGAAACGCCTTAAATTTCTACTGCAGAAGTTTTTCTGTCTAGGTTCCAGACCCCAACTGATACAGTATAAATAGCTTTCCAAAAATTTTAACGGTTATACTTTTGAAAATGTATCCATACGAAAAGTCATGTTCCTAAAATGCCTGTTTTTAAAACGTTTATCACCGCCGTTTGTTTTATATTTTGAAATGTACAAAGTTTATATCGCACGTGCACAGCCATTGTTCTGCTCATTAAACCTTTTGTTTGGTGGCGTTCCCGTTGCTGTTGTCATGGTTTTCTTAAGGTCCCTAATGTAAAACTTTCTGTATATTTTCTTTTATATCTATTAAAACAGTCGTAGTTGCTGCCATTGCTATTATCTATTTATGTTCTACACCGCACACAAAGTTTAATTCATACTAGAGATGACAGAAGCATCTGCCGCAGCATCATTGTTATTGAGAGTGTTGTGTTTTTCTTTAAATGTTTATTATATCGTTGCTATTATCCAGAGCAAATGCTTTCTCACAACTGGCTTTGAAAAGAAATGTATGCAAAGCTATAGGGAGAATTTATATTATGAGCACTAGACTGTCAAGCGCCTAATAAATACTGTTTTTATTACTACTGACAGATTGAAAACTTCAATATAGCTGCAGCAGGAAAAGGTACCTCTATCCCTTTTTATTTTTTAAGCCCGACTCGCATATACATTAGTGGTTTCCATATGTCATAGGACCACATCAAATTTGGAAATAATTGCAGCTGGCCGAGTCCAATTTGGCAGTCAGCAGAATTTTTTTTTTTTTTTTTTGAGATAAGCCTTAAACGCTTTGTATTTTTGTGCCCTCGCGGAGCAAAGTTTCCTTCGAGGTACAACGGCCTTCAAATCTAGTTGACCCGAGATCGGT